GGGACGGTGTGTTCGCCGTCTCCACCGGGAACTCCCGGCCCTCTTGCCCACGGCGGACCTGAGGATCGGCACGAGTTGGGGTGGTGCATTCGCCGCCTTTGTGGAGTGTTCTCCATCTCGGCCCCTCCACTCTAGTCGTTGGGCTCTGCGTCTCCGGGGCATGCGAGCGCCCCGGATTATCGTTCCGCGTACCGCGCCGCGTATTTAGAGACCACGCGTGTCTCTCCGCCGCACCTCGCCGGAGGTATCACCACCGCGCCGCGAACCGACCGCCGCCGGCTGCACGTTGGCTAGGCTCGCCCGGCCGTCTCCACCGTTCCTGTAAGGATGCACGACGCCGCGTGTCCTCCGCTCCGGGAGTCAACCGACGCGGGCACTCCGCGTGCAGCAACCACCGAACCGCGTACCGAGAACCGTGAACCGCGTACCGCGTACCGCGACGCCGAGTCAAGCAGGTGCATTCCGCCGTTGCACTCCGATGCGAGATCGTCGAATTTAAAGCTCGCGAACCGTCAACACGAAGCCGCGNGCCGCGACATAACAACACACCACGACGATAACACCGCGCCCGCTCCCCGCTGACACCGCGAGATCCTCGCAGCAAGCGACAGGTCTGCTCCAAATAAGTTCCGGGAAACACCGATCCGCCGAAACGCCGAGCGAGCCGTCAATATACGACCGAAACATAAACACGGGATTCCGTCACCGGCACTGTCATCGCAATATTTACCGGCGTTAAAAGACCAACGGAAAGCACGGCCTGTTATCCTTAAAGCTGTACAAAACATCGCGGCAATAATTAAATAAACAGCGTAATATTTCCACACGCGTTCGATCACTTATTCGCTCACTCACTCACTCATCCACTCACACACACGCACACTCGCACTATAAGACACCTGAACATCCGGCGAGCTACGCCAGGGCTATCGACACCGAAACACGGTCGACCAGCGACACCAGCAACGACCACCCCGTCGGCCAGGACGGGACGAACGTCCACCGATCGACGGGGTACGGGTCACATATTTTTTCCTGAATACTTGCAGGGATAATCGTCAAACTTCCTATTTATTCGGAGTAAAAGCTATTATTCATAATAATGAGTATATTTAACTTTTAATGCATGAATTTTTTTTTATTACTGAATTATTTTTTTTAGGTTTATAGATAGTCCCAGAAAATGAGAAAAATATAAAATAGAATCTAAATAAAAAGAATTATCTTTATTTTCAAAATTTTTCGTACTTGCAAAAATGCAACACTGTGCACAAAAGACATTTCTACAGTTACTGGTGAAACATTTTAAAACAATTATTTTTTTGTTAAAACAGAATAATACCCATACACATTTTTTCGCATATTTTATCTGTAAATCCATTACAACCTGGAAACTTGTATCTAATTATATTCTCTGCGAACACTGGCCAGTGTGCAATCTGATCAGTTCGTACTTCTTTTGGAAGCATATATTGAGAATTGCTTTTGTGCCTTTTGGATTGTATATTTCGTTCTAAGGAAGAATTTGGTCTTCCACGTTTAGGTGTGCCTTGATTTTGACATTACACAGACATTTTGCTACTTCAATTCTACATTTTGATTGATTTATTATTTCAGTATGTTTTCCTTTTAGGGTCATTACTCTTTTATAAAGTAGCCATGCATTCACCATACATAGATCAAGTAAGTGATAAAAAATGCGTATATACCATTTTCTACTCTTTAGTTGAATTCGATATCGGTCTATAAAACTGTCCATTAAATTGACACAACCCATGATGATCACCAACTGATGAACTGTCACTGTATTCACCAACAGCGTCATCTATCAGCATAACTTTGAACTGTATATTTAAAGCACATTGTTGCAAATATGCAATTATGAAGTGTTATGAATTATTCCTAAGGATGAGTATTTTACATGTGGAAAAATAAATATGTTACAAATTTGCAACACTATGCATTTAAGGGTTAATTAGATTCGATTATGTGAAATGTTTCATACGAAGGTAAATTTTTTTAAAAAAAGGAAAAAGAAAACGGAAATTATTTGTGATTCGACCTAATAGGTCACGTGAAGCACCATTCATATAAATACAGTAGACATTATTGTCTGAATAAAATAGATGATACCATTAAGGCGCAAAGACGATTGAATACGTCGATTTTTCAGAACTAGCGGAAGATGGTATCAGTCTTCACTGAGCATGAGGAAGGTGCTCAGTATTATGCTAATGAGAAGTTACAAGCCAATTAGGATAACCGCAGGCAAGCTGTACACCCTGAACTTGGAGAACTTCGCCGTAGTAAGGAAACATTTTTAAAATAAGAGTTGATGTGCTGAATTCGCGGGAGTCGTGTTAACGCATTGCTTTTTTTTAACCTGGTGTAGCAACTTCAAAAAATAGATTTTTTTTTGCTTAATCGATAGTTTTTCATCTCTAGAAAATGTTCCCGAAATCCCAAAAATAAATTCAAAATTTTGCGGGTTGAAACGAGCTCGCTAAGTACGCATGCGTAAGCGTTCCCAGAGGCCCCAAAGCTACAGTGCTCACGAGAGTTTTAAAATGCCTTTAGGAACTCTTGTATTCTGTTGGTAATCTTGTAAGTATTATATACATCAATGTCAAAATGTCAAAAAAGAAAAAAAACTTGGTGGCAAGGGTAAGCTAACTGACACCTTGATAAAAAAGCTTACAAAATACTACGGCCTCGCAATAATGAGAAATCCAGAATCTGTGGAAAATATGCAAAGAGATATAATGGCCACATATTTGCATAGTATATCGACTGATAAGAAACCAAGACATGAAAATTGTCCTTCTGCTGAAGATTCTTGGTGTAAATTTCGACACGCCGAAAGCCTAGGAGTTCCATACACTCACCCAGAGCCTTTACATCCAGTTGTAGCTGAAAGTATATTACCTATATGCAAAGACTTATCGAGAAAAGATTTACTTCAAAGATGTTTAGGCGGTTTCACTCAAAATGCAAATGAAAGCTTTAACTCGCTCATTTGGCGACTAGCACCTAAGCATCTACATTGTGGACGAAAGATTATCGAAATCGCGGCCTATTTAGCAACAACTATGTTTAATGAAGGTTACTTGTCATTGCTAGGAATCATGTCAGAAATTGGCATTATAATTGGAACGACCTGCAGAAATTTTTCTGATAAAGTTAATCAAAATAGAGTCACTTCTCAGAATCGTCGAAGTAAAAGCGCTAATAGGAAAATCGGTTTGCTGCACAAAGAACAACAAAATGAACTTTATGAGGAGGTAGAAGGTCTTCTGTATAGTCCAGGGATAGCTGATTGATAATAAAGTTGAGTTAAATAAAAAAAATAATAGTTTATCAACCTTTTTTCTTGTTTGAAAACTTTAAACGCGTTTATCTCTAAACTATGTTTTTGAAATTGGCGTGCAGTATAACTCAAACAATTTTTGAGATATCAATATGATTTTTTTTTTTAATTAAAGATAATTGAATTGTCTTATAGTTATACCGACAATTAGAACTAAAACAATTGTTTATAAAAAGTTATAAACAATATCACGCGCAAAATTTAGGCCATAAACGAAAATTTAGTTTTAAGTTGCAAATTTTTCAATTTCTTTTTTTTTTTATGTTTCTTCGGTATAACTAGAAACTACTTTCATATAGTTGACAAAAAAAAATTTTTTTTTTTTATTCAGATGATTTCACGAGATGCTAGACTGCACGCCGTTTGGGAAGAATTTCCAAAGGCGCCTTCGTATACGTGCTGTCACTTGGTCAATTATTGAGATAAATAGACGAAAAAATTAATTCATACTCTTCAATATATGTACAATAAACTCTGTTAATTGCAAAAATATATATTCAGTAGTTTCGTCAATAAAAAATCTCAAAAAAGTGCTTGTTTTTTGCGTTCTACACTAGGTTACCCCCTTAACCCTTTGAGCGCTATGAACCCATATATGGGTTCTCACACAACCATTCGTTTTTGGCTATGAACCCACATATGCGTTTTCGCATAACCATTCGTTTTTGGCTATGAACCCACATATGCGTTCTCACGCAACCATTCAGTTTAGGTTATGAACCCACATAATAATTTATTTTATTTATTTTTTCGTACGGAATGGGCAGTCCACGGCGTACGCTTAACGCCGACAACGTCTGCTCAACGTGCGCTCTTTCGTAAAAAGTACGCAGTCCACGGTGAGCTGTCTCTTACGGATTGGGCAGTCCACGGTGAGATGCCTCGTGCGGAGTGGGCGGTCCATGGCGCACGCTTAACGTCTGGCAACTCAGCGCTCAAAGGGTTAATATCGTGCGCTCGTCATTCTCTTACTTCACGGTTCTCTGTTCAATATAGTAAGCATTCACTATGCGAACACTGATACTCGATGACAGTCTAACTGCAAACATCCGACATACCTCTATCTGTTTTTCTGACAATTTTGGTGAGTTACACTCGAGGGCGACCGCAGATTAAACTCTACAGAAAAATTAATCGTAGTACGAGATGTGTCGTAATTACTGTAAATCTGCGACTATCTCGTTATTATGAGATTTTGCGGTACGTACGCAACATAAAATAACTTAAACACGTTACTTTAAGAATTTGAAGAATGAAAAAGCTTTGGTTGTTTCTCTTTATATGTTGTGTATAACTGAAGAAAATTGTCGATACTGGTCTTAGAGTACCAAATACATAGAAATTAGATCTTCTATTCGCGCGATATCCGTATATTTAAGAGATATTCTTAGAGAGTATTGTTTATCGTCTGCATATTGATCGCGTACTTCACATGTTGGGTTCAACGCAATAATTAACTTGCAAATGTTTTAGATATTCAGGATGTTTATCACACTTACAACCGTGAAATATATACTAGTAAAATATATTTACAAGGGAAAAATTATAAGTAAAATTTATGGAGTTCGGTCGCCTTCAAAATATACGATATAAGTAATATGTTATTAAAGTGTAGTATATCAACGGTGATGTAACATACTTAAATATCGTTCATTACACCTGGAATTCTCACTGTATAGACCGTAATAGCATAAGGTACGATGACGATGCACGTATCACCTTAAATTGAACCAGGTGAAAATTATCTCGCGTCGATTTAAAGAACGACAATCCACATTGGTTCGGAGAAAGAGATCTTACCGAGTTGAAATTCACGTACGACAGGACAACAAAATTACCCGCGGTCATTTGAAAAGGGCTCTTGCTTCTCATCATGATCATTATGAGAAGTTTCCTTTGTTCTGTCGGCATTTTGTACCACTCTACGTTGTATCTACAAATATGTAAAAAATTTATATCTCTCTCGATATACTTTGATCAAAATAATTACATTATTCCCTGAATAATAACCGAAACAGGAGAACATCCATTAAAGCCTATGGCTAGAATATGGTAAGCAATAAACAATAATTGAAAATAAGATCGAAGCGTGAAAAAACATTTCTGATATAAAAAGCACATTACAAAATTAATTTTGCAACCATTTTTTGGAGAATAAAGTTGTGATAAATTTGAATTGTTTCTCCTGAATTTGGAAGAGAGTTTTTTTTTGTGATCTGCTTTTTATGTCAGAAATTTCTCCATGTATTGGTTTTATTTCGAATTATGGTTTATTTGCTAACTTTATTCGTCTAATCATAGCCCGTTAGAACAAGTTTTAATAAAACAGTAATATTTATTATTCTTTTTTTGCATAAACGGAGAATGATAAAATGAATGAGAATGGGAAAAGGTTATATATATTTTTATTTGTACATTTCTTTGTAGAATCTATTGGCTTAATCAATTTTTTTTATTGGGTGAGTGCAAAAGTGCATGCGGAGTTTGTGAGTAAAAGTCAGACAGTGATTAGGCAAACCAAGTTCTTTATTCAATCAATGATATATTCTCCATCGTTGTCTATAATCTTTTTCCAACGTTCTGGCAGCATACGGATGCCCCGATCATAAAAATTGCGCGGTTTAGATTCGAAGAACGAAGACACGACGTTTTTTAAGGCATCCAAAAAGTCAATTTTTTTTCCATTTAAATGATTTTGCAATGACCGGAACAAGTGATAATCAGAAGGTGCGATATCAGGAGAATACGGTGGATGAGTTAGGACATCCCATTGCAGGCTGTTCAGTTTGCGCAGCGTCTGTCTCGAAACGTGTGGTCTTGCGTTGTCGTGGTGAAAGACTACGCCCTTGCGATTTGACAAAATCGGACGTTTCTGTTTGATTTCTCGATTCAGATTGGTTAATTGGCGACAGTACTTGTCCGAATCAATCGTTTGACCAGCGGGGAGAAACTCAAAATAAATTATGCCCTTGCAATCCCACCAAACACAGAGCATCACCTTCATCGGGTGTAAACCGGCCTTTGCCATTGCTTCACCATGCTCACCTGCCTGTTTCCATGTGCGTTTGCGCTGAACATTGTTGTACAGGACCCATTTCTCATCGCCCGTCACTAATCGATCCAAAAACGGCTCGTTTTTGAGCCGCCCGAGTAAAAAAACGGCAGCAGAAACTCGCTGGATTTTGTTCCTCTCCGTCATCAAATGGGGCACCCATACATCGAGCTTCAAATCGAAACCGATTTTTTTAAACGCCGAAAAGCGGTTGATCGGTCAACGTTAAGTGCTGTAGCAACTTCCTCTGTTGAAATTCGCGGAGTATTCTGAACTAAAGTTTGCACAACATCGTCATCAATGTCTGAAGGTCGACCTGAGCGTGGCTCGTCTTCAAGGTTAAACTGTCCGCGGCGAAATTTCGCAAACCATTTTTCCACAGTTCGTTTAGCTGGTGCTTGATCTTGATAAACCTCTTGAATGTTTTTTACGGCTGCTGCAACGTTTATTCCTTTCCAAAACTCGCAAAGCATAATATGCCGTAAATGCACCTTTTCGACACTCATTTTGAAAGTAATCTTTCTCGAAGCAGTTCGTATCTACACAAATTCTTTTGTTTGAAATGAACGCTGCATACGTCACCTTTCCAACGATATGTCTTACGGAGATGGCGGTATTAATGACACAACTTTACGCCGCTTCTAACGCCATCTATTGCACCTCCGCACGAACTTTTGCACTCACCCAATACATTCAATGTTTAAATGTTTAAGAATTTGTTCATAACAATTTGTTGCAAAATTAATTTTTGCAATGTGTTTCTTGTCAGTTATATTTTTTTATTCTCCGGTTCTGTTTCCAGTTATTATTTTTTGCTAACTTTACTAGTTTAGTCATAGGCTTTAATGAATTAATCTTATCTGTATTTCTCCGTTTATGTTAAAGGTTAATTGAAGGTACAACGGATGTTTAGATAATTCGCAGATCTGTAGACCTATATGTGATATATGATGAAACGTACGCGGATTTGAAGACTTTTTCGCTGGAATCTATGATTTTCTGACCTTGCCAATTCTCAAAGAACGTATTGAGAAGGAGCGCGCTCAGATAACTGGCGTACTTGAGAACCCGATCGATGTCTTCTATATTCGTTATCACCTACGCAAATGTAATTATAGAAATAAAGCAATAATTCTCAGGTAATTGAGGAGTACCTGAAATCCCAGGATGCTCAAAACCGATATGTTAGCTCCGACATGCACGAAAAGAGGTATCTTGTATATTGAATCCATAATGGTAACGAATCTAGCACAAGACATGTGTGAAAACGTTGCTTGAATTACTAACAATTAATGATAATAACGCATTAATGATAGTAATCGCATAAACACATATACCGACTGTATCGCCTCTGCATGCCTTCGGATACTGTACAAGATGTTCAAACGAATTTGATCCCGCCTAGACATTAACATTAAATCACAGTTGTCGTTTTCAAACTTAACCGCATATTCCAAGCGATATCTAGAATTCAGTCGTTTATGTCGGACATATAAAAAAAACGTTTTTGAACTGAATATCTGATCTCAAAATTAATCAGAGAATGACCTCAGAGCCACAAACAAACCGCAGCAATGTTGGATGAGTGTTAAATACAATACATCGAACGTGATCATCAAGAGTGTATAAAACACGACACACGTGGAGCTATGTATAAAAATTGGAACATAGTGCGTCTCTACGTCGATTACCACGTAATTGATGTGATAAAGCAGTCCCACTTGCGCGTCGTGCGTGATATTTGACGAATTATTATCGCCGGTTTCCGCATCGAGAAGCTTAGTTAATAAAGTCGCAAACACAAAAATGACGGTGTGGCTGAACAAGACACCTAATTTAGAAAACATCATGCATTTTTAATGTAATATAGAAACAGAGAAAGAAAGAGGAGAAGGAGAGAG